CCAAAGAGTGCTCTCGAGACAGTGTTGAAGGATTACAAGGACCACAAAGAATCACTAGATGTCGGTGACGATACGATTGAATCACTTCAGGACATCATCGACGGGCAGCCTGGTGCGCTAAAGACCGAGGACGAGGACGATGCTGCATACGAGAAAGAAATATTGAAGAAGCTGGAACTTGCTAGTTCCGGGGATAAAGAAACGGTGGACCTGGACCGGCTAAATGAGAAGTTGAAGTCGCTAGCGGACAACATTCAAAAGGTCAAAACAGGGTTGGACGGCTTGGAGGTCCAAGTATCGCGAGATGCGGACACGCTTGCCGCAATACCGTCTCCCCCGAAAGGCAAACGAAGCAAGAATCACATCTGCGAAAATTGTAACGGGGAGAGTGATAGTCGTGTTTACGCGTTGGTAACCCTTCCACGGCTATGGAGACGAAGCCCTGTTTCCGGACGCATACATCTTACGCGTCTAGGATGGTGCTCTCTGATCCTGCTCTTGTGGTTCTACTCTGAATCGACCATGTGCGATTTTTACTGCCACCCTTCGATCTCAGAAACCTGCCAGGGAAACTGCCTCCTTCCGGATGCTCCCCGTTTCCCGTACGTGATACCGACAATGCTCTGGCGCTGGCTTCACTTGTCTTCGATATTCACCCCTCTTTGGACTCTTGCTATTGCTTTGTCTAGGCTTATTGCACAGATGCTGGGCTTCTGGGACGGGTACGTGGAAGAAGAGCCTATTCCGGTCAATTTGACCGGCGAGATCCGCATACATGGTCGTACGATCAATATCCCAACGGCCGAAGCTACGTCTCGAGGCTTCTTCTCCCCGCAGAAGTTGTGGCCTGGAAAGGGACAGCCGATTGTTCCACAACCAGTTCCTGAGTTAAAGGTGGAAGTTGAGGATATGTCTGGCCGAGCATCCTCGTGGGATGACGATGGATCTATGGATGATGATGAATATATTTAGGAGTTTGGTTTGTCTTCGGACTGGTCAGGGCGTTTGGGATGTTACTGGCGTTACTACAAACGGCGGACGGGATCTATACCTAGGTGGCTAATGGAGTATTGATTATAAGCAACAAATATATTGGTTCATCTTCTACTACTACTAATCTATGTGTAAACCACTAAACCCACTCTTATCTAAGGTTATCGCGATCTGCAAGGAGCCGCGGCTAGCTCTTCGCAGTTAGTGCATTGCTAAATGCGGCATTTATTGCCTCCTTGCATTTGCAGTATATTCTTCATAGTACTGATGTGAATTCTGCCGGAGATTGGGGAATAGAAGGAGTGATAGAGAAGATGTCATAATTCACATATCATACAAGTGATAGACGGGTCCTTGATATAAAAAGCCCTTTCAACTTCCTCCACCTTCTTCCTCCCAATCCTATCCAACCACCCCCTTCTACTCACCTCTCCATGACACGAAGAGGTCAAATTACCTCAGATCAAGATACATCAAAGACACATCTGGTACTTTTTCATAGATTCAATTAGACACCGAAGATATCTGGTTAGCCAATACCCCACAATATACTATGAAACTACTGCTATAGCCAACCAAAAGCCCACCCTTCAGAGCTATAGCACAATCCAGCCCTAACTCATTATACAAACCCAACCCTGCTGTCAGAAACTCTCAGGAATATCAATCGAAACTTAAGACGTGACATTTCCCAAAATATAAAGGCATCAAAGGCGCAATATGAGTCGCCGTAAATCATGCTTAGAAGTCTCGTTACATCGACTCAACCTCCTCCAGCTCCATGGGGGTTGTGCTTTCCTGGGTAACCGATACAGAGCAAAGAAGCGTATCTTACACTAAGCAGTGGAAGCTAAGGCATGCTGGCTGCGTTGGATGCTCCGCACTTATAGACGCTTTACGCTGTCACTTTCATGAGAAGTTAGATCAGATACCTCCCGGTCGACGAAGTAATGTTGGATACAGGCCTGGGACCGGACAAGGGAAAGCGCAAGCGCAAGCGGGCACAATATACAACCGTCTCGGGAATCAAGGAAGAGGGCCACGCCTGGCTCACTGATATCTTGGCTGGTTATTAGAAGTTCTTACTTTCAAGACAGACTGGGAATTAAACGTTTACGCTCGAATTGAATGTGAGCAGGGGCTTACTTGGGTTAAACATGGGATAGGACGATCTTTCCTCATTATAGGGCTGCGATACTCCATATAGGATTTCAGCTCTGACAAATGCCTCCACCATGGCTAACTGGTAAAATATGCTGGCTTTATGACGGGGCTGGTTAAATATAGATATCTACGTCTTCAACATCATAGAAGGAGCTATAAATGGGACAATAACTGTCCTTATGCAGCATACAATCCGTTCTATATTGTCCGTTCTGTCTCACTCCACTGTCGATGAGCTGGGGTGACCGAGAGATTGTTTGATATCCTTGCAAGTAGGATTTCGGCCGCCCCATAGTTGGCAAAAGTTGCCTCTGAACTTTACGCTAATCAGCCTATTGGTCAAAGTGTCAAACAAGTGCACGACCGGCTATATTTCCTGTCATCGCCTTTTATCAGCATCGGGAAATAGGAAGGAGATGTCAATAAGACTCAACCATCAATAAGCAGCATTTTTCGTTCCAGTTTAGCTGTAAGAACAAACAATATCCAACTTTGCTGTTCAGGCTTCTGTAGCCGAGATGAGTGCAGGATGACACATAGACAGACCAAGTCCGTTGTGGACAATTCTTGGTCTTCTCCTTTCGTTCCCTCGGACAGCTTACAGAGACCGAAAGCACACCCTCAGTTTTAGGGTATTCCGTTTCAATGGATTCACCAGCCAGTCCGAAAAGGCACATCTAATGAGCAGTATCATCACCAATACATCTAGTGTTGCCAACATTGTTACTTCTGCTAGTTAATGTAGAAATAACTATCATGTCCACATTCACAACTACATTCCATGAGATTTATGAAAACACATGCTATGCGAATTCCAGAACCCATCCATCGTTACACCACTAAATGGATTAAACATAGCACAGCACAGAACAATCCTTCTCAGAACGTCTCAGGTGGATTGAAACCAGAACTCTGTTCTCATCTTTCATGCCAGATGGCTGCCTTGCTATGAGAGGAACTAACGATGTTTTCGCCATATTCGAGGTGAAGCCATTCGTCTTCATGAAGCAACGAGAGCAGACTGTCCGACAGATGCTGCTAGAGATCGTGGCATGGATTGCGAGTACCACGGAGGAAAAAGAAAGGGCCTAGTTTTAATCATTGTGCTAAGATGCATATAAGCAAGGCATGCTCAAAAGCACTGGTTCCCTTGCTTTCTCTACCTTATCGAACAAAATGAACAGTTCTACTATCAATAGGGCAAATATGAGATACTACCGACCCACCAAATCCTATAGTAGGATGGATACCGTCCTATAGTAATAAGATGAAGAATATTCGTACTTAAGCTAAAAGGTTTGGAGTATGAAGATCACCGAATTCTTCAAATGGACAATGTTGATCTTCGGTAACAATCACCGACTGGTGTCAAGTGATGATTGGTCAAGGATTCTACAGGTACCGATGCCCCGACAGATTGATGCGCTCCAGCGATTATTTTTCCCAACCCCGGAGGACGTGAAGAAGGGCCGATTGAGACGAGACTATCTACGACATCCTGAGGAATATGCGTCTGAAAATACACCGCTTCCATCACTTACTATGCCACGGACGTCACCTTCAGATATCGGAGGCCAGATTTCTTGTATCTTGGGGGTTGTTGTCTGACGAACTCGGCAATCTCTTGATCATTTACATAAGACAGAAGTGTGCGCACCATAATCATATCGATACTCGTTTGCGTTATTATGTCGAAGACAATAACTCCGAAGCAGGTTGTCTGTTCATAACCCACGCCATCAGTCGAATATTAGATGGGATACATTATATCAACGTGTTGCTGGGGATCAAATCAAAGTGCGAAGAGGCAGTCCAGACAAATATACGCAGCAGGGGTAAAAGGAGCCACAGGACTGGAGCTTGTATACATGTATACTTTCTCACTTTTGCGAGGTTCCACCAAAATCTATTCGAGTACTACAAGAATAGAGTTGACACTAATGAGTTGCTGGCCCTGGAGACATTTGGGCCTTGGGACACCGAAAATTCCCTCCATCTCGTCCATCTGGCCAAGGTCATCATCTCCGCAGGGCAGTCTACCGCTATTACAACCTGTCCCGAGACGGTCAATAATAACTCCCGAGCTTATGAGAAAAGAAGGAGATGTGGCTATCAATAACTAGTTGTCTTTTTGAAGGACTCGAAAGTCTACAAGTCGAATGCGGCATCGGACGCCCAAGAATCAGTTGTTTACTACACTAATCACAGCAAGTTGAGCAGATTTTCTCGCTGAGGTTTTCTGGTTGATACTGACCGCGATGTCTGGGTCAAAGACGAAGTCATTTACACCGCACTGAAACCTATATTAGATCTATACTCGTCTACCAACCATATCCAAAATACATGATCCTGACTGAGATACTTAGGGAAGCTGATTGGAAATTCAAGATGTCTTTCTTCAAGAAATGAAGCAGCCATGGGAAATTATTTGGATGCAGGTGTTTTCTCTATATCCTAATGAACTTTTCAGTTCTGGCGTAAATTGAGAGATTTCTCAAGAATTGTACCTCCAAGGGGGAGTGATTGGTACTGATTAGGTCTTCTGAAGAGAGATGTCAAATTGTGGGTTTGATTGCCGCAAAGAAACAGAAGGGTGTCTTAATTGTGAAACCATTCTAATATTTTTGATCATAATGGATTAAATCTGAGAAGGGTTCTATTTGTGTGCCTCAAGTTCAGTTGAATAAATGATACGGTGCCAAAATAAAGTATTCTATGTACTATCGTATGCATGTACATTTGTCTAAAAAGAATATATATATATATATAATATGTAGCAAGTCTATAAACAAGCAGGGTATAACAAATCAATCCTCAAACGCCAAGTTCATAGTGCAAAGAGATTATAGCTTCGCCTTCTCCACCCACTCCCGTTCCAGGAGTTTCTCCCCCTCCAACCGCCACTGCTTACCCTTCTCCAAAACCGCATCCACCTCTTCATCCGTCAAAGGAACAGCGGTTTCAAGCGGAATTTCACGAACCGACTGCAACTTGTACCCAATAAAGGTAATCTTCGCCGGAGTAGGGGTAGCCGGAGTAATCTTTCCAGTCATAACATCATGACAGAACTGCGCCGTGCCGTCCAAGAAGCGACGAGACGAAGGCGTCCCCAAGAAGACCTGTCCGAAAACATGCGGCATACCTTCGAATTGCTCGACAATCACAGGGACGCCAACCCGGTGCATTTTGCGAGCGACAACAAGTCCCTCATCTGTAAGACCTTCCTCACCCATGGAAATGAATACGGGAGGCGCGCCTTTCCAAATTTCATCCCGGCCGGCCACCGGGCTGACGAGTGGGTGCAAAAGGGCGCTGGCGTTCGTGTAAAGGTCCACACGAGGTGGCTTGACAGGCCAGATGTCGTCTTCAGGCACAGAAAGTGGGAGGTAGGCTGTTTCGGGATCCTGGGTGGGAGGGCTCAGGAAGTCGTAGACCGAGTTGTGGTGGACGGAGGGCATAGAGCGAGTGATGTCGCACCAAGGGGAACTGATGGCTAGGCCGGCGGGCAGTTCGATAGGGACATTACGTCCATGGAAGCGGACGGTAGGGCAGACGCGACGGAGTGTGAGCAGCGTTTGGAGCAAAACGAGACAAAGGTTTCCTCCGGCTGAATCCCCGGAGACGATGATCTTGTTCGGTGCGACGGGCTCGTGGAGAGAGCCCGGAGGCGGCGAGACGAGCGCAAGGTATGCAGTAAGGGCATCAACGAGAGCAGCAGGGAACGGATTCTGAGGCGCAAGACGGTAGCGCACCGATAGAACACGGGCACCGGTTCGTTTCGACAGCTGAGCGACGAGCGGACGATGGGTGCACGGGTCGCAAAGGCTTCACATCCAAAACGTCAGTATTTAAGACAAAACTCCCAGACAGCATTGAGGGCAACTTACAAATACGCTCCTCCATGGAGATACAAGATCACCATATCCTCCTTCGCCTCCTTCTTCAGCTCCTCATACTTGGCTTCTTCCGAAATATCCGGCTGCGGCGCGTTCTTGTGCACGCCGCTCCGATATCCCGTCCACTCTGCCTCAAGCGGGGTTACTCCGGGGATATTGTAAGTTTCGTCACCTTTCTTCAGGTCTTCAATGGCTTTGATAACCGCATCCTGGACATCGTCTTCTGGCTTGGGGAATGTCACCTTGGACACCCACATGGGACCCTTAATACCGGGGTCGCGCATGCTATCTCTTTGCTGCTTGCCGACGGGCGAGCTGAAAACGAGGAATGAGCGGATGATAGCGACAGTCAACTCGGTGCGCAGGTCTTGTTTCCCCGTAACTGGCGACATACGAATGGCATGTAGGAGAATGGTTTTGAAAATGAGGGGAACTCGCACGAGGATTGCCGCCAACAGGCCGAGGGGGTTGTCTAGTTTGCTCATGATGGCAGACTAACTTGCGAAATGGAGAAAGCAGAATAATCAAAGAGTGAAGACTGACTCGCCGATAAAAAAAAAGCAATTAACAAAGAGGCCAATCTCCGACGGAAAAAGAAGTCGAACGAAAAAAAAAAAAAAAAAAAAAAAAAAAGGTTATAGACGTGGAAAAGAAAGAAAAAGATAAGGGGGCAAAAGTGGCATAAATTGAGGAAAGCCGAAAAGGGCAGCGAACCTCCGACAGACCCAGAAAAGCCTCGGCTCAACAAAGTGGAGGGAGACGATGGGTCCGCATGACGCAGGCACAGCACGGACACCAACGGTTCCGTTGCCGTTGAAAATGATGAAGGAAATACATGCTAGACTGATTATTCCATCTCTATTTACCAGATAGTTCATCTCAGGGCTATACTGATCTTCTCCCGGACCATGGAATGCGGAAGTAGAAAATAACCTTCCAAACCCCAGATTCCGGTCGGGTGGCGCACGTAATCTGCCGCCCGTTCTACTACTAAACACTAAGCAAGCCTGACGAATCTAATCTCATCGGTGAAAACAACACCCCACTCCTTGCTTATGGATCGTTCATTCCAATGCATTAACTAAAACTATAATAGTACAGATTTATTGATCCCCATATTGGATCATTTCATGCAGGTCGTCAAGCGTATGTTAAGTGTCTCCATCCGGGGCCTTGTCTAAAACCGTCCAGCAGTTTCCTTGGCCTTGCCCTTGACCTCTCCGGCGGCTTCCTGTGCTTTGCCCTTGACCTCTCCAGCAGCTTCCTGTGCCTTGCCCTTAGCAGTACCGAGTGTCTCTTCAGCCTTGCCCTTGCCCTGGCCGGCCACTTGGGATGCTTCACCAGACAATTCGTCGGTCTTGGCCTTGGCCTCAGAGGCGGTGCTGCTAACGGTGCCCTTGACCTTCTCGGCGGCGTTTTCTGCACATCATGATGAGTGGGAATCCCAAACCATGGGTTCTATTAGTGTACATACCTCCAACTTCAATGCCCTTCACAGCGGCATCCGAAACCTTGCGGTCAGCCTTCTTCAGGGTCTCCTTGGTGGCATCGATAGGTCCCTTGTCTCGACGGGCAGTGGCGGAGATCAAGCGGGTGGCACCGACGGAGAGAGCGGGAGTAGTGGTAGGTCGGAGAGACAGCGAAGCTGTGCGAGCAGCGGGAGTAATGCGGGCGAGGAAAGACATGGTGGATCGTAAGGTATTCAAGTTAGTGGGATTGAGGGTCGGATGATATAGAGGTCAGAAGTAGATGATTTAGACTGTAGTGGTCAAATAGAATGATGTGGTAAACAATGTTCGAATTGCCAAAAGGCTACCTCCATGATGCTGGCATCGAGAATCTTTATAGCTGGTTGAACTGCTCAAAGACGTCATCACCAAAGGCGACCTGGTTATTATGTATCTCTTACGTCGATGGGCTGTCACTGCAAGTCCAAATTGGGATTAGCGTTGATGGTGACCAAGGCGCGCTTTGGTTCCCGCCCGATCCACCACCACAAACCCAGTCCGGATACCGTCGCGATCGTCCTCTAGTGCATCCTTCCCCTGGTCGGTGACCCGCTGGCTGTTGCGCTCACAGATCTCAACGCGGCGCAACAGCCAGCGGGTACTATCTCATGCAAGAGCATGCTGATGGACTGGTTAGTCTTCTCACAAATCACAAAAAAATAATAAGAACAAAAATAAATGAAAGGCACAGAGAGAGATTCAGATGTTCAGTCGCGTTATCCGATTAACACTAACAAACGCCAATGCAATGCTCCCTCCTGTACGGTGATATCCTTCTTCTACCAACACCTCTAAATGCTATCGCTTATCTTCCTATCTCCTGCTCCAGAAATGCATGGCCATAAAAACTTGAACACAAAATCCGAAACTCCAGGTGCTTGTGCTGTCTCCTAATTAATCCGTCACATCTTTATCGTCACGGTTCGTCACTTTTATTTCTTTATTTATTTTTTGCCTTTTTCTTTCTTTAACTTTCCTTTGCCGTCTCTTTACCAACATCTGTATGATTGTATGTGATTTCGATAGTTTACTCACAGATATCAGTTTTCGTCTCATCGATCATTGACTCATGCTAAATCCGTCAAAGTCAGGGCGAGGGGGTGAGCTGCCGCTCCGCGCTCGCAGTCCGTGAGAATCTGCCACTGGAATTGCCATCTCATGCGGGATCAATGGCCCGGACAAGTTCGGATGGTACATGGGATACCCTGGAATTGCTGATGGCAGATGTGCGGGATAGTGAACACGCCCACCCAGCCGCTGCCGGGCGTCACGCACATCCACACGATGGGCCCCGAAATGCAGTGTCGAAGCGGGCTCTGTCGACCATAAAGGGTCCATGGCAGCGACGTGGCCATCCAGTGTGTTGATGGGTCGGATTTGTGCCTGTGCAGCGTAAGCTACCTCCGGCTGACGAGAACTGACCGCTGGTGGTGGTTGGCCCTGTTGCGGTATGTCCGCGACCCAGCTTCCTGCCCCAGATACCGTGTGCGGAGGCGGCACAACATGTGGAACACCACTGGCTATGACAGACTGCGCGGGCGTTGTAGCTGGGAGTGGAGAGAAGCGCGGCGGATACCGAACCGGCTCGGTTGACCAGGACTGCTGTGACTGTGAAGATTGGTTTCGCGTCATCGGCTCCGGAGCGGGTTCTGAGGAATACCCAACAAGCGGTTCGGTAGCCAGAGAGCTCGGAGGTGATATTCCTGGCATGAATGCAGATGGGTGGGCGACTGGCCTCGCTGGACTCGGTGATGGTCCCATGGAGCTTGGTTGGGCCACACCCACACGTCGTGGTACCGTAACCTCGATGTTCCCTTCAAATGGCAGTGGAGGGGGCGGAGGGATATATGTCAGAATAGATGGTGTACTGGCAGACATGTCCCCAACCGGAGGTGCTATTGGTCGTACAGTGGACAAGTGACGAGTCCGGTACTGAGACTCCTGCGCTATCCCCAGATCCATGGCATTGAGTCGATGTTGCAAGTAACCTTGATCAGGTTCACTGTAGGTGGATTGGGTCATACGATCAGGCTTGAACTCCGCTGAAAGTGGTGATGGATGTGCATTGCTAGAACGGCTCTGCAGCGACTCGCCAGATGATTTGTTCTGCAGTGACAGAAGCGCCGGTCTACTATTGCCTCCCGGTGTCGACGACGATCGTTTCTTTGAGTTCAACTCTCCATCCTGAGTATGTCTGGCTGCTACTGTAGCATAGGTTGGAGCATTCTCTTTGCTCAAAGATGATCGGCCAGTCCCTCGCTTCGTGATGGCTGTGATATCCTCGTGAGAGTGGGGAGGACTGGAGTGCTGCACAGCTGTGAGTGCCTCCGACGCGGATGCAAAAGAGCTTCTCCGACTTTTACCCAACGTGCTGCTTGAAGCACTTCTCCCTTCGACAGGAAATATTTTCAAGACTGGAGCTGCGAGCTGGGAGCCCTTGATGTTACGGGGAAATCTCGGCCGCTGCACTGATCTTTCATCCTTTCTGATCTTGGTTTTCGAATGCTTCTTTACCACCATGTGCCAACCATGGTCGTCAATAGGCGGCGAAGAACTGGACGTTAGTGATGACTTGGGCGTCTCTGCTTGATGACTCAGTTGTGAAAGCGCTGGTGAGGTCCGGACTGGGGCATTGGTGCTTTCCCTGTCACTCTCGTATCCATTGTCTCTGTCTAGGCTGGATTCCCTGAAGATATGGGGCAAAAATGGCTTGAGGTTGAAGCGTTGCTGAGATCCTGGGATTTCTTGCGGCGACTCTACTTTCGGAGGCGTCATGTCACTCCAGTCCCATCGTCCCTCCTCGGCTGCTGATTCAGGCACTGACGACGAAGAGCTGCTTGATCGATCAAAGACTGATCTCTGTTTGCGGACCGATTCTTGCGAGGAACTGGGCGAGATCCTCTCAATTTCGGTGGCAATACTTCTGATGACCTGCTTCAGATTCTTGCGAGCTTCGCACAGTACTGCAGGCTCGTTCTGGGTCCTTTTGGGCCAGTTTTCGATCAACCTGAAAGCATGAGTCTCATATTCCCGGTAGTCTTTGACGAGTCCACAGTCATCAATACGGTCCATTCGGGCCTTTGCACTTTCGTACGATGTGCAAAGAACATGAGCAGCGACAACTATCCACGAGTCATAGAAACCAGCGTCAGACGTTCCCGCCTGTGTATTGCATCGCTTCTCTTCCCGGTCCATGATCCTGAGCTCATCTCTGCAGAAACCTTGGACAACACTGTGGGTCTTGATCATATCGATCGTCCCCGCGCCTGAATTCTGATAAACCGAAAAGAATGCATCTTGGCTACTTTCGGTCTGCGACTCTGATAAGTCAGGGGCCACGGACTTCATGTCTAGAATATTATCTTTTTCAAGCTGTGGCGAGAGAGCTTTCGCGTGCAGTGCATACGCGTCCGACACCCTCTCAATCAGTCCGTATCTAATAAGAACCCCAAGAGTCGTGTCGATATCACCTTTCTCACCGGTTCTACTGCTTGTCAGGATATTAACGTTCCATCTGCTGAGTGCGGAGATTCCGAGTGTGATAAGGCCGACGGGGACATGATGGCTGAAGAACGAAACGAGGTTGATCAGGTTCAGTGCTTCAAAGTGCTCCGTACGATAAAGGTCATGCATGATGCTTAGGAAAGGCTCTGCTAGCTTCTCGTCGGTTAAATGAGAGTTGATGTGGTACCTCTCTATTGGCTTCGATGTTGCTGCGAGCCGATGACTGATGGCATGTATTGCCAGAGGAAGGCATTCATAATGCTCAACAAGCTCGGTGGCTTTCTTGATTTGCCCCTTGGTGGGCTTCCTGATGCCAAGGTCTTCGAAGAGTAGTTTGCAGGCTTCCGTGACCTCTAGAGGCTTGACTGAGAGGCAAAACGGCTCATACAGGCGCTGCTTTTTCCTCAGTGTCTTATCGACAGATGTGTAGATGATGCTGCACATCTTATTGAACGGCAAGAATTGTTTGAAGTTGTTGAGATCGCTGTCTTGACCGAAGCTTACACCATCGAACACCAGAAGCCATTCCTCCCGAGTTTGCAGCCAGTTTCGCACCGAGTCGACATATTTCTGAGAGGTATTGGTGTCTGGATATTCAAATACCTCTCCTTCGTTGAGTGCGGCAGCCTGTGCGATGTCCCAGAAGCATTTGTAGGTTGACTGGCGGGACTTTGCGTCGACCCAGAAGACTCCGCCAGGATAGAAGGCTCTATGAGTCCAGACATACTGGCGTGCAAGATGCGACTTGCCTGTCCCAGGGCCTCCGCAGATGAGTACAGCCACGAGCCGCTCTGCTCTCTTTTTGGCTTTGTACAGCCTGGTGTGCAATTGATCAAGATGTGCCTTCATACCCACAAAGCTTGCGTTTGGGTGAAAGCCGGGAGGCACCACGAACAAAGGGTCCTTTGGGAGGGTCTGTGATAGGGACAAGTTGATACTATCACCGAGATCAGACACAAGGGATCTTCTTCTCTCGGCCGGGAGGGCCATTTCAGAACTACCTAAGGAGGAAGAGTCAGCCTTATCAGACTTGACAATTTGTTGATAGGAAAGCGACACTAAAATACAGGAAGCCGATATAACAACATAAGAGGCAGCATTCATGAATCATCATCCGTCTCAGAGAATCTGCAATAAATCAAGCAGAGCGTGACAAGGATAAGAAAACGGAAACACAAAGGTTAATGAAAAGGTGACATGACGTGTTTTGCCTGGTTTTGTGCTTTTTGGGCAGTTCCTCCATTATTGATCGCCAATCATACCGGAGAAGTACCGGTCAAATATGTTTGCTATGATGAACTGACGACTCCGGGGGCTCCTCAATCTCATACTCGCGCAGTGTGACAGAAGATGAATGATCAGAAAGCAGAGGTGTCCTACCAATTGTGCGAAGATCTGGAACGCTCCTCCCCAACTGCTCCGGCTCGATACGCTCTACATCCGTTAGTGCTTGCCATAAGAGGGAAAAGGGGCTCTACATGCCATGGCTAAATATCTCCCTGATCTTCGTTTGCTTCTGAACACGACGAGTTTTGTCCTCTTCGACCCAGCGGTCTGCGATGGTGTTCGGGGCATCGCGCGAGTACCGCAGCAGCGCCTCGGCAACTGCTTCAAAGCCAGGAGAGTTATCATCATCGAACTTGCACATGTGTCTGTGGTCGGCTTCGATGCCCATACGTTCGACACCTTCTGCGTAGGGTGCGGCGGAACTTTCGTCCACAATCAACTCGCGGGTCCCTTTGACATCACTCGACAGTGTCTCGTGAAAGAAGTAAATGTGGAACCGGCTGGTTATGTCGGCGAAGAGGCTGTTAATGTTTTGGAGCGTCTCGTTGTTGGTCTTCAGAGACTTGACTAGCTGAGGAGACGACTCCATGAACTTCTTCGGCATGACAGCACTACAGATGTTCTGCAGTAGCAGGCCCCATTTGGCGACGTCCGAACCGTTATGCGGTGTTCCTAGGAACAGGATTCCGTAGGTGGACACATAGATGGATCGCAGGTGCTCGATCTTTTCATTTGACACGTTTCGGCAGTATATCAGTGTGCGCTTGACGACGAGACCACCGAGCGAGTGACAGACGAAGATGATCGGTCTGTCCGACCCGCTTCGAAGCTAGGAAAGTCAGTTAGTCACTCTTCTCAAAGAAGGACAAATCATGGACGCAGATCTTAAGGGACCACTTACATTTCGGTTAGCCGCCAAACCCGACGCCAGAGTTTCGGCATGATTATGGATTCTGTCCTTCGACGCGCCATCGGTGAAGGCAGTTACATTCGCGTTATAACCATAAGTCAGGATCCTTACTCGGTTCGGGCCAAGGATCTCGGGCAAAAGATCGGCAGGCCAAAAGGTGCCATTACTGGAAGCCCAAGTGTTGTAAGGGTGGCCATTCAGTCCATGGACAAACACAATATCAACCAGAGGCTTTTCGGGGCTACAGTAGACCTGAGTCAACCCGTACTGCTTCACGCGCGTGGCAAGGTTCGACATGGCTCGAACTGCCCACAACTGGACGTCGACCAAAACTGATATCGATGGAAAGGAGATGCGAGTCAGCCAGACAACCAAACAGGGGACAGAAATCGGAGCGTGGGGTATAGCCTTTTACTTACATCCACGCAGCAAGAATTCCTGAACAGGAAGGCTAGATCGAGTCTGTTGCGACCATGCGCGAAAGAATCTCTGTTATTCCTGACGAACCGGTGGAGCTAGGAAGACAGATTATAAAAAGAAAGAGTGGCTTGAAGGATGAAAAGGGGGGAAGGACAAGAGGTCAGTTGAGTCACTGAAGAAAAAGAGTCAACAGAACAGCTGGAAGGAAAGGTATTTATGCGGCAACGAGGATTACTTGCAGAGAGTGAGTGAGTGGGCGGGCAGTGGGGGGGCCAAAGTAGGCAAAGGCGCGAGACAGTGTGCAAAAGACAGAGAGAGCATGAGGCCCGCAGATGACTGGGGCAAACTGAAGGTGGAGGGGGTGCCTGGTGCCTGTGGTTTAAACTGTTTAGTTTAGTGTACTGCAGTTACTACTAGTAGTTCTGCAGGGCACAAGCTACAGTAGCAGCAGCAGGCTCGGAACCATAAGCAGAGTGAATTAATTACTCAATCAATTAATGGAATTCTGTTTTTTTTCTCCGTCTCGAAATCAGTCAATTTTCCTTTCTACTTATTCTTTTCTAATTCTGTATCGGGAGGATGTTGCTGAAGGTTCCCGTGGACACCAGGGGGGCTGACCAACTAGAGGTCATGCCGCCCGCCTCGCTGACCAGGAAGATCGAAGCTCACCTGCAGATCGCGGGGGGAACTTTGCATCCTGACTTGACTGGTGTATCCTATTCCATCACTTTGTATATCCTCAACATCCATTAAATCAACTAAAAAGAGTCAAAAAGGGTTACGAGTCTAGCCTATTCTATCCCGATTCTGCAACGTAGATGATGTTATCATCCCATCTCGCATACAATCTAGAACCATCCATCCATCCAGCATCCCATCTGTGCTATCCAAGCACAAATACTTCAAACTTTCTCCGCAAGAAGTACTTACACAGTAAGTTTACGAAAATGAAACACCCGGGCAAAGAAAAGAACATCATTCCCCCTGGAAGTGGCTGTGAGCTCTGACGCCCCGAACACGGCCTAATCCTAAACTTAGTTTCTGCAGCGCGCCTGGGCAAGAAGGATGACTCTAGTTCAACCGGGTTCAAGTGAACTAGATTAGATTAGGTAGCTCATCAGGCTGGATTATGCACTTACTGAGCCCTATGCGAGTTGTGTGGTGCGACATTAATCAATTGAATACAGTGATTGCTCTGCTGCTGCCCCGGAGGATTTGAATGTCGATCTGCGCTGCCCTGCGCAGGGCTGTGCTGTGCTCTGGACTGCATGCAGGTGTGTATGTATGTATTGCTTACGACATGATGTATGTACCTACATTTAGAGGTGATTAGTGTTATAGGAGGATGTTGTTTACTGTGGCCTCTTTCTTCATTTCTAATGCGATACGAACTGGTTGGAATGTATCTGAAGTACGAGGCTGAGGCTAGGCTTTGCTTCGCTTTGCTTTTTCTGGGGCTTTAGGATGCTTGTGAATTGTGAATCGCGGCTGCCTGGGGCTAGCTAGGATTCTGTGTTACTAGGTGTTATTCATAAACACCTTCATGAGTAGTCTACCAAGTGTAAATGTACATATGATTCTTGAATAGCACAATTTTACTTCCAATTCAGATAATAAAACAATCAAAGCATAAAAAGAAAGCTGGCCAGTGGATCAAAGCGGGTCCAAACAGCCGCGGATGGATCCAGGGTTCAAACCAACGTTTTCTTTCCCTTTCCCGATCGGCAACCTATTGTAGACTAGGTAACCAGCTAGCTAGATTGGCTGATGGATGATGGAATAATGATTATGATGATAGGTACGTACTTCCATGACGAATGGTTCGTGCTCTGCGGATTCATTATCCTGGGATGTTTACCCGAAATGGGCCACAAGAATTTATTCCAGGTGAGTCAGAGTTTTGGTGTAACTTCTTGGTCTTTTGCTTCTTTTTGTTTCTAATCTTGTTTACTGGGATGTTAGGCATGTTATGAGTGAGTAGTGAGTCGTATAGATTTTTCTGTGGCTGGCTTTGTGGCTGGTGGTCGTAGGGATGGTTTACTACATGGGATATGGAGGTGTGTATGTAGATGATGACCGCGAGCTGGTTGTGTTAAGTCTTAGGATTGTAGAGGTATGTTGTGTCAATATTGGTTATAGTTGGGAAACAATGCCATTTGTCACAACTTTACTTATTGTAGGATTGTCCGTAGTTTGCTAAGAAATGTACCACACTCAGACCATGTCTGGATCTTCAAATTTAGGCCTTCATAACAGGCAAGCATGCTTTTGCCTGTAGCATTGTCCCTGGTACCTGGACACCACTGCCAAAACAAGTACAGTTCTTCATATCCAGGGTACCCAGACATCAACCAAAAGCAAAAACACATTACATTGACTCACAATCGAACTAGTTCTAGAATCCTTCACATCCAAAACTGTCCAACCTGAGTCACAAGGTTCCCCGATCGTCTCTCAGCTTACATACGTAATGGGGCAACACAACTCTTCCAGATGACTCTCTCATCGCCCCCTGAAGACGGGCTTCCGCTTTTCCGCGAACGCCCTGAGAGCCTCATACCGATCTTCGGTGCCAATAACACCGTCGTACGCCTCATTTTCAGCCTCCTCGCCCCGTTGGAACTCACTCACAGCCTTCAAGGCCTGCTTGATGGCAATCGGCCCGCCCTCACAGATCTCCAATGCCAGCTTGATACTCTCCGTGAGGACCTTCTCCCTCGCCACACCCTCCTTTTCTTCTTCTTCCGGGAGCACCTCCACCAACCGATCACAAAGGCCGATGAAATACGACTCCGGGCCGGATACTCGCCGTCCGGTGAGAATCAGGTCCCGTGCACGGTTCACGCCAATCAGACCGGGGAGACGGTAGGTACCTCCAGCTCCAGGGATAATAGCCAATCTTGTCTCGGGAAGTCCAACCATACACGAGGAGCCGAAGACGCGGAGATGTGTGCTCAGAGCGAGTTCAAGGCCGCCGCCCAGCGCCATAGAGGAAACGGCGGAGATGGTGGGAATCGGGAGCTCCGAGAGGTTGCGGAAGGTGCTTCGCAAGTTGTATAGAAATTCGGCTGTCCTAAGTCACGGTAATTGCAAGGGTCAGTAGTATGTAATGTGGCTTCGGGAATTGGAGGATTGCGTACTCTTCCCGGCTCATGCCCGCGCGTTCTTTGAGATCTGCGCCCGCGCAGAAAGCCGAGTCGACGTTGCTGCCGATGACCAGGGCACGCGTTGGCCCCGAGCCCCCTTCAGCGGCGATAGATTTTACATTCCTGGCAAGCCCGTCGAGGAGATCGCGGGAGATTGCGTTGCGTGCCTTGGGCCGGTTCAAAAGCAGCACGCGAATGTTTCCCGATCCTGGGGCGGGAACGTGCTG